TGTTTGACTGGAAGGTTCAGACCGAGACTGCTCGGGAGGATGCGAAAGTGGGGTGTGAGTGCTAGTATCGTTGAAGCGTCCAATGCGCGCGCCTGGAAAGGCCAAAACGGCCCGCGTAACTGTCTCAAGCCAAGAAGATGGCATTGGAGGGGGGTGTGTGCCTTGAACACGGACGCCATCGTTCATGCTAGTGGTACTCTTCTTCGCCTTTGGTATGGGTGTATGACCTCGCAGAAGTCTCCGCCGCGGAATATTGGGGGCAGAGGCGATGTGACGTAGGTAGACTCTGGCCGGAGATGCGGACACATCAGATGACCGTCCGCTGTTGGTGACACCGCTATGTCTGAGTGAGTGGCCCACTGTTCGAGTCCGCGAAGATGGTGATGCCATAGTTGGATCTGGAACAGATGGTATAAATTCTGGACATTCTCAATGCAAACTATTGGATACTCACTGATGTCTAATTCAGCCCTATGCCTGTGCATCAAAGGGTCAACGAGAGAAGTGTGTGTTGCTCGGTCATTTTGGGAGGTCTTGACATCCACCCGCTCCCCATCACTCTGGACGGATACGAGGCCTGCCAGGAATCCTACTACAGTATCCACGCCACTCCTCACCCTACCACTAGCTTCTCTCTCCTCAGGTCCTTGTTGATGCTCTCTGTGTCGCTCAGTCTCGGGGGTAAAGATGCGCGTCTCCTTATAACCAGCTTCTTTAAGAAGGTCTTCAAGACGTTCATATGTCCGTGATGTCCCACGACGGTGTAGGGGAACACGTAGATTGTCATGGGCAAGACTAGACGGGTACCTCGATCTTCCGCGGGGTGGGGTGTAAGGAGTAGGAGGTCCTTGTTAGGAGTGTCCGCCATTGAAGAAAAAGATGACGGAAGTAGGCTGGGCGGTGAGTTAGGAGGGGAAGAGGATGAAGAGGAAGCTGCCTGTTTCGCGATTACTATAGAAGAGTGATTTGAACTATGAAGAAGTAATGCTCACCATGGTAGATTGCGTTTTGATGGGGGTGCGACCTAACGGCTTGGAAAGAGGATATTGGGTCTGGGTCTGATCATCAGCGTATTATACGGAGCGGATTGCAGAGAGATCAGAGAATTAAAAATATCGGCGTTTCGTTGTTTCCGCCACTGATGTAGATGCGACCGTTGCGTGCGTACACAAGGGTTAAGAGCGAGACGGCGACGGCGACGGGATCACGTAATACACGTCCGATTGGCGAATTGGAGTCACGTGAACATCAACAAAATAATAAAGTGTGACGGTGTCACGAGGACTTGCGCGTCGCGGTCAGCGTGACAGCGTCAGATAGAAGGTCGACACCGACGCGCGTTCACTTACTCGTTCATTCATAATGCCTGAACCTACCAAAGCTGCCATCGCCGTTCCATCCAAGGATATTAAAAAAAAGGAAATAGATGAGAAGGACGGAGCGGCCTCAAAGAAGAAACCCGATGAGAAGGAAGGGGAGGAACTGGTGCGTGGTATTTAGCCAGCCACGGCCTTGGAGTTAAAGCTTGTGCATCAGTCGGAAGAGGACTTGCAGCTCCGAGGAGAACTGGAAATGCTTGTGGAGCGGTTGAAAGTGTGTGTTGTCAGTTGCATCCCGCGTCTTTGATTGAATATTCGTCTAGGAACTGGATACCACCTTATACAGGCCGGCCCTCGAGACACTCCGCACCCTCATTCGGACATCTACTTCATCTATGACCTCTGTTCCAAAGCCGCTGAAGTTTCTTCGACCTCATTACCGGGAGCTACAGAATCTTTATGAACTCTGGGTTCCGTCTGAGGATAAGGTGCACGATCAATCTTTCCTCAACTGCTGAGACGGTCCTGATGTCGGCGCCCCTGCAGAGTCTCTTTGCGGATATACTCTCAGTACTTGCCATGACCTACTCCGACACTGAACCTCGTGGCACGCTGCGCTACCGCCTCCTTGCAGCTTCCATGCGTCCTCCCACATCCCCACTCGCCGACCCTGGGGACTGGGGGCACGAGTACGTTCGACATTTGGCTGCGGAGCTCGGCGAAGAATGTAGTCTTCGCGATCAGACAGAAGTGCCGAAACCCGTGACAGATACGGGTGCTGTTGGGCCCGAGAGCGCGACGGACGATAAGGAAAGCGAACAGGTAAAGTCACAAGTACCACTCTCGGTCGGCACATTAGAGGACCTCCACAATCTTGCTCTGGTTTGTACAAAATTCCTACTTGACCACAATGCCGAGCCGGATGCGGTCGATTTGCTTGAAGAGCTGGAAATCATAGATCGAATTGTCGATTTGGTGGATGCCAACACGTTTAGTCGCGTGGCTGCGTATATGATTGCGTACGATTCCTAGTTGCATTATGATTTCCACTCTGCTGACTAACAATGCCAGATGTGTGAATCTGCTCCCACCACAAGATGACGTTGCGTTCTTGAAGACTGCACACCGCATCTACGAGAAATATCAGCGGTTCCCTGAAGCTCTCTCTTTAGCTATTCGACTAAATGATTCAGAACTTATCCATAAAGATTTTCATGCCCCTGGCAATCCGTACGGGTACACGTCATTGAACCAATAGCTTCTCACTAAGTGTTGCTTAGACAGATGAAACGTCAACTTTCCTTTATCCTTGCCCGAGCGCAAGTCCCGTATCATTGGTTACAACGTCCAATGGTCGATGGGGACGGGGACGAAGCACTTGAAGAGCTACCCGAGATTTACAGGAGATTATATTCAACTCGCGCCTGAGCACGCATTTCAAACAATTTGGGAAGGAACTTGGCGTCCAAGACCCAAAGAGCTTGGAAGATGTTTATAAATCTCATTTGGAGACTTCGCGTACGTCTAACCCCACCTCCCCTAGGCATCACCTGTGTTTACTCCTTGGTAAAAGGATCATCGACAGCGAGCGTTGATTCGGCAAGGGGTAATCTCGCGGGCACCTTTGTCAATGCGTTTGTCAATGCGGGATTCGGAAATGACAAGCTCATGGTCGACGCAGAGGAGGGGAATAGTTGGATATATAAGAATAAAGATCATGGTGAGGGGTTCATGTTAACGTTGAATGCTATGTGGACAGCCTCACGCTCTTCCTACAGGGATGTTATCTGCAGCCGCAAGCCTTGGTCTCAGTTTACTGTGGGATACCGATATAGGTCTGAGCCACGTAGACAAATACACATATTCGTCTGAGGAGTATATTAAGGTCCGTACTCGTGTTCTATCTTCGGTTTTCTCGCCTAACACACATGCTCACAGGCTGGTGCTTTTCTCGCCACTGGTATCCTTAACACAGGCGTTCGGTCCGAAGCCGATGCTGCCCTAGCACTTCTTGGGGATCACATATCCAATAAATCCGTCCCACTCCGGACATCTGCTATCGTCGGTCTGGGCTTTGCTTATGCTGGCGCGCATCGCGAGGACATCCTTGCCATGTTGCTCCAACTAATATCTGATGACGAGATAAGCATGGAGATCATTGCCCTTGCGTCGTTAGCTGTTGGTCTTATATTCGTTGGGAGTGAAAACGGCGAAGCTGCGGGTGTGATCCTCCAGACTTTGATGGAAAGGGATGATCGCGCGCTGGATGAAAAGTGGACGCGCTTCCTGGGACTAGGGCTCGCCCTTCTGTATATCGGTGACTGACCCCTCAATGTTTGTCATCGAAATGAACTGAACCATTATCCATAGGTGTGCAAGCGAGCGATTCGTATGATGCGACAATTGAAACACTGAAAGCAATCCCCCATCAAGCATCAAAACAGATCCAGGTTCTTGTCGAGATGTGCGCTTTCGCCGGGACCGGAAATGTTCTTCGCGTGCAAACTATGCTACAGCAATGTGGCGAACATTTAAATACGAAGGACGCTGCTTCAGAGTCAGAGCAGGACGATGAAAAGAAGAAAGCGGAACCAAAACAGGACGATACCTTCCAAGCATTCGCAGTTCTGGGGATTGCGCTTGTGGCAATGGGCGAGGATATCGGCGCAGAGATGTCACTTCGGCAGTTCAATCATTTGGTGTGTATGGTTTTGTTTCACACATCGCTTGTCAATAACATGCACACTGCAGATGCACTACGGTGATCCTGTAATCCGCAAAAGCGTGCCCTTAGCCCTCGGTCTTGTCTCTGCTTCGAACCCGCAGCTCCCTATTCTTGATACCCTTTCGAAGTATAGCCACGACAATGACCTCGCAGTTGCGCTCAACGCAATTTTCGCCATGGGTCTCGTTGGCGCGGGGACGAATAATGCTCGCCTTGCACAGATGTTGCGGCAACTGGCGGGATACTACCACAAGGAACCCGATTGCCTCTTCATGGTGCGGATCGCCCAGGGTCTTGTGCACATGGGCAAGGGTACAATCGGCCTCAACCCATTTTACCTTGATCGGACTATTCTTAGCAAGGCAGCGGTCGCAGGTTTGCTTGCAACGCTGACGGCTTTCACAGACGCAAAAGCCTGTAAGTGTCTGATTGTCCATTACGGGGATGAAATGGGCTAACGTTACCTTCGCTGTAGTCGTGCTCGACAAGTACCACTGGATGCTTTACTTCCTGGTTCCAGCCATGTATCCACGGTTCCTTATTACTCTTGACGATGACCTTGAGCCCAAGCCTGTCACAGTCCGAGTCGGCACTGTAAGCCCATACATGCTACCCTCGTCTTCCTTTTTGTTCATCATTTCCAACCCTAGGCTGTCGACGTTGTGGGTCAAGCAGGTAAACCTCGGACAATCTCCGGCTTCCAGACCTATCAGACACCCGTACGGCTGGCGACGACGGAACGTGCGGAGCTCGCAACGGAAGAATATATTCCGTTCGCGAGCGTATTGGAAGGATTCGTCTTACTGCAGAAGAACCCGGGCTGGGAAGAGAAGATGGAGTTGTAGGTCTAGATTAGTACAGATGTATTTTCAGCACTAGTAATGCCCCCCCATCCGCCCCTCCGCAATTAACATAGGCACAAGGTTGTAGCAGTTGAGATAGAGTCATTGTGATGAGGCCGCCTGGCGAAATGGCATCGCGTCTGACTACGACCTGTCGGAATCAGGAGATTGCAGGTTCGACCCCTGCGGTGGTCATTTGAATGAAATGAAATTTTCTTTTTGCTTCGCGAGGTTGAAGTCAAAAACAAAGTCGGCATCTTTGTTCTCCTCGATATCATCTTTCGAGCTCTCATCCACGCGACCTGAGGACGTTGCTCGACTGACCCCGCTTCTTCCTCCGGATTCAGTCCCCAATAGTCCTTATGGTTCCGGATCACGGAGCTCCCGATGGAGCCAATTCTGGTATAAGGAGTACCTATGAGGCAAGCGATGAATCGGTTTCCGAAATACTAGTGCTTGTTGACATTGTGACCTACATCCAACACGACTCCGAGCGTTGGTATGACATCTTCACATTTCCACGCCCCAGCGGCTATAGCCCTTATCCGTGCCTGACCTAACTTACCAGCCACAGAACCCGCACTGGCGGGTCAGGTCATCCTCAAGTGGACAACTGGAATCATGAGGGCAATCCACCCCGTCGCTCATATGAATAACCTGAAGTGCGAGAACACAAGATATAAGAACGAAAAGATCTCGTAACTCCAATCTGAGTAGGTGGGGAATTGCAAATGAGTTGTGAATATGTTACGCGCCTGGCTGGATCACAAGTTGACAGTGCTAGTGAACAGGCAACACTGAACACACATATAGTATTGTGGAAAGCGGACATGGTGCCATGCGCAGGCATGGACCTTGTAGGCAAGGTTACAACTTGATTTCCCCGGCCACCAAAAGGGCCGGAGTAAGCCAGCGGGTGGAGATTTGATACATACAACGGAGAGTCGATAGACAACTGTGAATGCTGACACCTAAATTTCGACAACATCCTCCAGCGGGGTTCCGGAAGGGAAGACCATCGGGTTGATCACTTCTGATCTCTTTTCGGTCCCACAAAGGCTTGCTACAAGCGCAAACGCGAAAGGAAATGCGGTTCCTAGTAAGATCAAACCGCTTAGCCCTTCACGTCCCCGGATAAAATGCCTCAACATGCCTGGCCCACGGCTGGGAGGTGGAGACTGTCAGAACATATCGTCAGTGAAGCGGGGGGTTCAGTACCTGGTGATGAGATTTCCTTTAGAGATTACAACTGGATCCTCGCGATAGTCGAAGTCTACGAAACAAAGAGAATGTACAGCGAATATCATCTGCATGAATGGTAAGAGACTCTACCTTTATTCATTGTTCCTTGATGGAGGGGTGGGACGTCAATGGCTGCTGGGGCAGCTGAGAACTTTTCGCGACGAGACTGCCTGTTTCAGAGTTCGTAATTAAAGGCCTTTTCTTTCTCTTTCATGTCGAATCGTACCTGCGCAGATCATTCCGACGCATTTTCCTTGTCATAGAAGCTCTTGACTAACGACTGGACGAACGGAGACTGAGACATCGTCTCAGCGCCCTTCGCCCCTCCTGGAATGACAATGGCGTCGTATTTGTCCTGGAGTTACCATCTACTTTAAGCATCTCCATACCTGTTAGAGGAAGAGACGAGACAGACGGCACTCGACGCGCTGAGCTGAGACTGGGAGATGTCCGGAACGATGCGGACGCCGCGGGAGCACCGAGCAAAGCCCGGCTCTTCTTTGTCGCTTCCAGACGGTGTGATGAAAACAGATGTGCAATTTACCCCAGCGCGGACCAGGGTATCATACACGATTGTGCTAGTGAGCGAAAAAGTTCATTAGCAGAGTGAAACGCTGATCAGACATTACAGCCTGCTGACAACTCCATCTCTTCCGTCCCGTCAGCAATCAAAACGAGCGCAGATGGCATGATGAACGATTATTTGATAATTCCTCCTCGACGAGTTACCTTGCTTGCAATGTCTATGCGGCGGTAATCACGCCCGTTTGATGAGAGGTGTTGGTAATCAACTTACATTATCGTTTTTCCTTTCTTGGCCTCCGATGAACTTACGCTCGTTCAGAGCTTTTTTTTTTTTTTGTGACAATGGCCTGCCTTTTCCAATCATTCCGCGCAAAAAAAAAACATATGCGGTGGCCTTAACGAGTATGTTTTGTGACATGTTACTGTCCCACAGTAATGTTTTTCCTCCTTGTCTCATTGTGAACTTTCCACTCCTTGCTCGTGTAAGTCTCTGTTTTTTTCCATCGACACCATCGGCGTGACCCGTCAGGGTCACGCCCACGTTGCAGTACGCCGTACTTCACTGCCCGTGCTTGTTGGAACCAGTGTTGGACAGTCGCTGACCGGAGGTCAAGGTCATGTCGACTAGTCAGTGACAGTGAATGAAACGACCGTGAGTTTTCTCATCACGTGGTAATGCCAAAAGCCGCTCGATCACTTATCTGATCTTATCAGAGTTTTATCGTTGAATCGATAACTTCAATCCTAAGCGCCGCCGCCTGCCCTTTTCATCAGCGACTTAGGTAGAGTCACGGTTGTTTGCAGTCGCTGACCCCCATGGTCAGACGACTTTCCTGACTGTCACTAGTCTGACTGGCACATCACTGTACTTAGTATCCTGTATCTCCAGACCACACACACGAGAAGAGCTTGCAGCATCCAATATTGATTGACGAACAAAACGATAGATCGATAAAGCCTTGCAGCAATATGAAGATGCTGGTCTATATATACAAGTATTTTAGGTGTCTTCGCAATGCACGCCCGCACCCGCACTGATCAGTTGATCATAATTGCAATGACAAATCTTCAATCTTCAATTCTTGGTTTTCTTGCCTTCAACAGCTCCTCGGATTTGTTTAGAGCTTTCAGCAGCTTTTTTGGCATGAGTTTTGGCAGTATTTGAATGACCTTTGCCACCTGCAGCAGTTGGATTGAAGTGAGAATCCCGAGGATTCATGTCACGAGAACGTTGGTTGACAGCGCCTTTCAAGCTATTGGCAGACATGACTGTATAGAAGAGAGAACAAAGTATCAGTAAATCCTATGTCGAAGAATGAAGCAAAGGCGCAGGATATGGCTGACTGTCTAATATATCGGTTTGTAATTTTTTGGGGAAGTAGATGTGCTGTGTTTCTTATATTGTGATGTTGGTTGTTACCTTGAGTGACAGAACGGAAGGAAGAGATAGATTGATCAAGGTGCATGACCTCGAGTACTTATATAGCGCTGATTCACTGCCATGTTTCTTCAGAAAGGCAAGGCATTCTGGGTAACCACAGTGTCGCTTACTGTACTGTAATTACCTTGCTTGCAAGGTTAATGCGGGCATCCCCAACCTACAGTATTCAGTATTCCAACGCCATTAAAAGATCACGTGATTTATCTTGCTTGTTCTGGTCTTCCGAACCGCTCTTTTAGGAGTTTCCGACATAGTTTCAATCGAGCACGGTTATGGACTCGGATCTGTACAAGCGACCAAGCAAGGAGCGATAAATCGCATAAGCCTCCCCCCATCAGCATTAGGTTTAAACAAACCATAAATGGACTTCGATTTCACCACGACTACATTCCCCAAGGGAAAAAAACTGATGGGATAACTCAAAAATGACAATGGGCCAGGATAGTGTGATCTGTACGATAACATGTATTTATGTTTCTACATCTCCTCTTGTAAAATTTGTTCGATCTGTCCTCTATCTGCAAGCAAGGTTAACTGAACCTTGATCACGTACGTTACGTCATAGCTTGGTGGCACGATGCGCGCGCTCCCAATGTGCCAAGTCAGATTGCCAGCACAGGACAAATGCTTCGAGCTGTATGCAGACCACCACTGAGGTCACCCTTTCCTCCTCGTCGGCTTATCACACTTTCTGCCGTCGAGGGTGCACGCGACCCTCCGCTCGACAACCGGACTCTTCCTGACTACTTCTCCGCCGAAATACTTTCACCGAGACCAGAGCGAGCCGCGCTCATCTGTTCACATGAACGCCCCAGGGTACATGGTGGGCCTTTGTCGCGCAACATGGGTGTGGACGGACATTTGGCCTGGGACTTTAGCGAGTTTGACCGTCACATTAGTGCACTGGCTCGAGGACTTGTAGGCCTAGGCGTGAAGAAGGGCGATCGGGTTGGTGTGGTCATGGGGAATACTAGGTATTTGTCTCCAGTGTGATAACTGCATACGTACTTTCAGAGATTTTTCCCCCTAGTGCGTACGCGATGCTACAGTGGGCCTGTGCGAGGATTGGGGCAATCCTCGTCACGATAAATCCTGCCTATCGTATTCAGGAGTTGGTGGGATACCAGGACTCTCCCTTCATCTCAGCATATCAACTATCATTTTGCGCAGATTGAGACTACTCGCCTCGTTGGCATCAGTCACCTTTTCCTCGTACCACAAATTCGCACTTCGTCCTACCTCACACTTCTTGCCGAGGCGCTCCGTCATTACGGAAGTTTTCCCCCGGAACATTCAAGAAGAGGCCCTGCCCGATCTTAGGCATATCGTTGTTATCGATAATACCCACCAACCGAAGAGGTTCACGAGATGCTCGGAGAGATCCACAGTGCCGTCGACTTTCGCGAGGTTTTGCTATGGCAGGAGGCGGGTACTAAGGAAGACCGTCTGGTCGAGGAAGCCAGGAAGACCCTAGATAAGGATGATGTGATCAATTTACAATTTACAAGGTCTTCTCGTTTTATCAAACCCGACGATCCCCGCATACTGAGTTCATCTTGAAGTGGGACGACTGGCGCCCCAAAGGCCGTCTCTGTGATTTTGTTTTCGCCAGCTGATCACTGCGTCGTGCTGATGAATACCGGCAGCTCACACATCATAATCTTCTCAACAATGGCATTTTGATTGGCCGAGCGATGCATCTTACAGAAAATGACGTTGTCTGCAATCCCCCACCACTCTTTCATTGTTTTGATGAGTAGACCCTTGCCTTATGTCTCTGTTGGTCATGCTTATTTGGACGTCAGCACGCCTTGTTCTTGGAAATCTCGCCGCGTGGTGTCACGGCTCAGCTATCGTATACGCAAGTGAGATCTATAATCCTCGCGCCATAGTCGATGCTGTGATCAAGGAACGCTGCACGGCTTTACATGGCGTGCCAACACACTTTCTGGGTGTTCTCACTGAGGTCGAGCGGAGGCAACAGGCC